ATGTTGAGAATTTAATGCTTTTCGAGTTTATCGCGGATGTAATTAATGGCCATACTTGGCTTTTTCTCTTTTTGGCCGGACTGATGTATCGCGATGCGCGAACGTTTATTTCGGAATTTCCTTCGTCGAATTATCGTATTATCCGTCGCCGTGCAATTTTACATCGCTACTGCATTCGAATCCGCTAACCGCATTGTTGCTCGTCGTATATGTTCTAGTAGCGCATCCCTCGATAAAGAAAGGAGTAAAACGAAAGCGTGGGGAAGGGGAGTGAAAAAATAAGGCGAGCGAGCAAAAGAGAGTAAAGAAAGAATGAGCGAGAGTAAGCGAACGAGCGAGTAAGCAAGCGTGAGAAGAAAAATATGCTCGAGGTTGGCGGTGGCGGTTGTGGCAAACGCCGGGGAGTTTTACGAATGGAAAGGTGGGAAATAAAGGAAGGGTTGAAGGATAGCTGAAACTTCAGCCGGCTGTAAATCTCGAGCTCTCGAGGAAAGCTCCTGGGGCTGGGCGCGGGATTATGAAATTAGCGGCGAACGAAGGGGTGAATCGGGACGCGAAGACCGTCGTCGAATATATCCCTTACGAGGAGAATGAGTTTTGCGAATCGCGGGCGGCATGCTTCAAGAGAGAAGGAGAGAGAGTTCGCGGGCTTCGGCCATAGTTCAAGTTTCAGTCGGAAATAAACTTATCCGCGGTCGCCACTGAAATTCTGACCACGTGAGAACTTAGGTGAGTGCAGGCGGAAGAAGGGGAGAAAGAGAGAGAGAGAGAGAGAGAGAGATCCGAATCGTCCGGCTAGAACGACGCGCGGCTGTTAAGGGTGTGAGCACGCCCGCGCGCCTTGAATTTACGGCGAGCCGCCGGCGAGTTTGCCGCGCCGCTGAAAAATTAAGAAAAGGCGAGACGGCGGAGAAGGGTACGCTCGTAACGTCGACTGATGTAAATTTGACGGCGATGGGAAAAGTGGCACGACTCGCGCGTGCATGCTCGCTTGCTTGCTCGCGCCGAGATTAAAATTGCAGAAATATGGACGTCGCGACGAGCGCTTGTTGTTATATCGTAAACTTCGAGCTTCGCCACGTAACACTCAACTCTTACGTACGCCGCCCGGCAAAAATTCGCGGAGCTTCGTGAAGAATGTTTCCGGCGCGCGAGCGCAGCTCTATCGCGAGAAGAAACTCCGTTCTTGCGCCATTTCGCAAGAAGAATCTCGATATATTCACGCGCTTCCTTCGCTCCGCCGTATGAAAAGGGCTGAAACACAAGAGCCCGGCGGTACTATTTTATTGCGACGCCGATACCGGGCGGGCCATTCATAATTCTGCGCGTATGGAGGGTTACACGTGATTCGCTGCGGGGGTTCTGCATAAATTTTCGCCAGTGAAAAATTAAGGGACTGAAAAACGCATGAATAACGTATCGTGCGTCCTGTACCGTTAAAATTACGGCGTTAACGTAGCGCCTAAAAAGCGAGCGGTTGGTCGGGAAGATTCATGGAATTTCATCGCATTGTGCCGCGTGCGGTCGGTGGCCCGCAAGTGATATGAAAAACGGTTCTTAAATCACACGAGGGAACAGTCAGAATTCTGAGGCCGGAGCCGATTTATTTGGCCGCGAAGTCGAATGTATAATGCATCCTGCAAAATTAATATTCGCCTATTGCACCGAGCCTCGTTGTCTCATCGCGCGTTCATTGACTTTTGCGCGTCGCTCCGGCGATCTGCGACATAAATTTTGTCGTCCCGCGAATTTACCGCGAATGCACGTTATTTAGAGTAATAACATGGCGCTTTCGCAGCACGTCGCCCGCTTCTCTCAAGGGATCACGCGAATCTCCGCTACCGCTTTCTGTGACATTTCTTTCTCGCACAGAGACTCATTCCTGTGTTACGTCGATTCGTATCTCTTCTCGCTTTACACCCACCCAATCGTGGAATAGCGAGCGTGAGCGATAGAAAGAGATAGGTTGCCGCTTTGAAAACTCAATGGCACCGTGAACTCCGGCTTCCCAAAGAGCGCCTTTTCTTTATTCATCTCCGCAAACTTATTCCCTCCCGTTTCGAGCATTTAATTCACGGTCGTGCAACGAGACTTCACAGGTGCTCGCGTCTCAGCTCTTTTTTCTCGTTCGACCAATCAACCATTAACCGATGCGTAAAATCTCGGGAACTCGCTCATTAACACGATTGCATTCGCAATTATTTCACTCGTGCGCCGATGGAATTAGTTCTCGCCGTTTTTACTCGGCGTTTTTTAATCACCGCGCTGTTTCATTTCGCGCTTGATAAAAATTGCAGATAGGTCGCGGCACGATATATCCAACAACTGAAGGTCGTTGTCCCGTGGCCGTGGTATAGCACAGGCCGAATTCTCGTTTTTACGCGTCGCGTCGACGGAAGCGCAGCCAGACGCGCGCCGTGCAGTCTCGATGCGCTACATATTGCATGGCCAGCGCCGGACCAAGTGCCTATGCATCTTTCATAAGCCGTCGACGATACTTTCGGACCTTATTTAACTTGGCGCTATCTCGCCGGGCCCGGGTTTGCTCTGGTCGAGATGTTTTCGCAATTTTCTCAGCGGCAACAACTATCCGCCCCCTCCGTGGAAACGCCGCCGCGCGCACCGGCGAGATCCGCGCGTATCGTACGCGGTTTATTCTTGAAAAGCGCTGACCGAAGGAAGCGAACCATGCAAGATATATAGGCGACCCTCCATCTCGCCCCCATCGACCCGTCTCGGAATTCATCCTCGAGCGATCTCGCGCGAGCGAGAAATGCCATCGGAATAACCGACCGCCTCCCGGCGGGCGGCCCTTCTCATCTCTCGTTTCACCCTTTCCATTCTTGGGGACCTTCTTGCCTTCTCGCGATTCTCACACTTTTCATTCCCTTTGTTCTCCTTAAGCTCGTTGCCCGCATTCATCTGGTCGTACTTCGCGGAATGCAGAATGTTATAACGGATCGATCGAAGACGTAGACGGAGGCGTCTCTACATACGTACCTTACGTGCCTATACCTATCTATCTACCTACCCCCTTTAATCGTCCCCTCATGCTCGCTCTGTCATGCTGGATTTTCCCCGCTCTTATCCGACGACCATCTGACACTCCTTAATATCGGCGGAACGGAAGATCCGAAATTCCGATAAATCCGTATACCAATAATGTCACCGTCGCAGGCGAGCGCCCTTAACTAAATGCAATACCGTCGTCGCAGTGATGGTGGTAGTAGTCCGCTCTTTGTTTCGCTTTATTGTCTCCTATATACGCCGCGCGCGATTATAGAAAATCAATCGCCTCAATCAGGAAATTTTCGACGTGAATTATTGCCCCTCATTTGTCTTAATCATTCCCGCGAAACACGAAGATATCGTTCTAAGGCGCAACCTGTCCTTCATTTAACTTAATCACTCTTCCCCCGAACATTCGTCTTATTTCCATGTGATATTTTTCCCTTACGTTTTCCCTACCTTTGACTTTTTTTATTGTTTGGAAGAAGGGCGTCTTCTTTTACGTCGTCACATTGATTAATCGATTGCCACTTCACAAAGGAAATACCGTTTACCTTCATATTTCCCTCCTCACAGCACATGTCGCTCTCGCTATTTTTCTTTTCGCGTATTCTTAATTCATTCAATTTGCAATATCATTCTCCCGGGATTAGGCGCCCATTTCTTTTTCTCGATCGCTAATTTTATACTATTCGAATCGTTTTGAATGAAAATTCAGGTCGTCGAAGTTCGAAAGTGGAGCATCGGAGGAGGATCAGCGATTGCGATTAAAGGTGGATTCGGGAGTTACAAGGGGATTGCCGGAGTGGATGCAACTTCGCTCGTTAATATTCGACGATCAATTGTTATTACGACCCGGCACTCATATTTAATAAGCTCTTCCGTTATTCCGATTAACTGCATTTCCTTTTTCCCTTTTTTTCTTTCTTTCGATTTTGTCCGTGTTTCCAGCGGATATCCCGTTATCGGAGCGCAGTGTGGGCCGGCACAGCCAATAATAACGCAAAACTCTGCTCATTATAACGGAGGAGTAGCCGGCGTGTTCCTCTCTGCGTTTACCTTAATTATATTTCTCGCGCTTTTCTTCGGTTTCATAACGCGAGCTCGCAGTGCGGCGGGAGTTTCATTGATAGTGCGCGCACCGCAGCTGGTAAATTGTACAAGAAGCCAGTCACTTTGCCACGTAAGTGACGTAAACACGCAACGTTCATTAATAGCGAAAAGTAGATTGCCATTATCCATCTTCCCCGTTTGCCCAGTCATCATCTGTATCCTCGCGCTATAGACGCGACGAATTTTTCCATCACGCTGTTTTAATGCTCGGGAGTTACGCAACGCGATACTCGCAGTCGATACTCGCGACCGGCGCCGTTTGTTAAGAAGTCATCTTGCACGCGCGCACAAGTGGCACCGGCACTCGCGACCGGCGTCAAATCGACGCGGCAATTTTGCCAGTAGCACGAAACGCTCGTTAATACGCGGTCTCAATATTTTTTCAATTCTTACCAGGCCGACATTTGAGGATGAATAATCCACGGCGTTCGGAACGTTCGATGTTACATAAAACCGTTCGCATTAGCGCTCGCATTCGTGATCGACTTGGAAACGGCAAGAAAATTCAACGGAATGGCATTACGTAAGGAAGAAAGAAGGAAATAGAAGGAAATCAAAGAGACACAGCCGAAACACGATGTTGCGTTATTGCGAAATTCACGACCTCTCGAAATTTGTACGTTTCCCATTCTCTTCCGTCGGTTCCGACGTCGCTGCGCCGGTTGGCCGATCGATCGGTTATTGAAATATATATACATAGCTCATTGTGACTTTTGGAATTTTTGATCATCGCCTTTCCGCGCACGCAATGCCGAACAATACACGACAATACAGTTGTCCACATTTGAATGCTCCCATCCCCATTGTAATTTCCCTGCTATATACCTACCTATCCACCAATTTACCCCACCCACCTCTCCTCCACCTCTCCTATTTTTCTCTGTATGTAATGTAAGAATCGCGCTGCAATCGAAAATAACCCCGGCGTGCTTCGTTGACATTCGAACGGCATGCTCGTCGAGTGTCTTCGAATTTTACTGATTACTTTGTGTTACCGTGACGTTACCTCCTCGCCGATGGAATAAGGGCGAAGTAGAAGAGAATAGAAGAGAGGAGAGGAGTCGCTTTCGACTCGGGAGATGACCGACGTAGTGATTTATACCTTCATCGTTCGTACGTAACAGTTTATCTGGTATTAAAGGCCTGCAACGCGAAAAATGCGAAATCCGCCACGTCCAGTCTCCTTGAAAGCTACGATTACTCGAACGCTAGAGACACCTACTACTTAGCACCGAGATTTTCGATCGTTAACGAAGAAGGCGGAGGGGGATCGATTCGCCAACGGGGAACGAGAACCGATCTTCTCCGAGAACGAGAGAGTAGAAAAAGAAATGTGATAGACTAAAATCTCTCTCCTCGATGGCGAGGGGAGACAGAGAATGAGAGAGGGAGAGACCACCCTAAAAATACTCGCATAAAAGTCAGCGCGTCTCGCGGACGCCGTTTTGCTCGCGTTATTGCCTATCTGTTACGTGCATGCCAGAACCGCGCGGACGTGGACTTGCCTTTCTCAGGTCGTTCCTCATCGGCCGATTAATCGGGGCGTGCGGCTCGCCCAGCTCACGTCGACAATTACGACAATGACGACGACGTAATCTCCCGATTTCGATGGATCGCCCATGGAAATCGAGGGTTACTCGCCGCCCAGCGACAATGCCTGCACGATCCTCGGATCGGCCTTGCTGCCCTCCCGGAATTCCTCCAGAGTGAGCTTGTCGTCATGGTTCTTGTCCATCTGATCGAAGATCTTGTCGACCCTTTTCTGGGGCGTGTTCTCGTCCTCGGATTGCGGCTGCTGTCCCTGAAACATTCAACGTTATCCAGCGCTTAAAGTTTCGTTAATTAATCGGGAGCATCTGCCACCGGTCCGCCGTTCTCATTACAGCGGTTGGAAATAATTGTTTCCTTATCGACGGAGAATGTAAATCTCTGTCGTCAAACTGAGCAGGGAAGCTAAGGATAATTATTTGGGGAAATATTAGCGCGATAAATCGTTCGCGAATTCCTGTGCTACGTTCATGATAACATTGAAAATGAAAGTTTTGTAGTCTCGGGAAACTTTGACGGTCGCTATTCAAACAAGCAGCGGCAACAGTAGGTTTTCGTGAACGAAGTCGTCGCCGATAATTGCCCTTGATAATTTACACGGCGTCGCGCGATATCGATTTTTAATATGTTCGTTTATATTCGCGGTTTTAATAGAGATTGGCCGATTCACGTTAATTCACGGTAAATCGTCGCCTCGTGATCCGGTATATCGCTTTATCGGTTGCATTTAGCTCTCAATCGTATTACGCGGCTTTGTCAGGTTTATTGTTTCAAAGTCGATATGTGTTATCAAAGTTTCGGTTCTGTGCCTTTGTTGGCCGCCACCCGCATGTTTATAGATTACTATGTGTAAGCCCACGGGTGTGCACATAATATGTCACTATATTTCTCTTTGAAATTAATATTAATGAGACTTCAAGGTGATTAATGGCGGCTGTTGTCGCGAGACGCGGAATTCGCGGCGGCTACGTTGAACGAATTTTGTGCTGAAATTTGCGTGACACGGTCGGTCCTCGGTAGAATAATGCGTGCACAGCCCGCTGAATTCACCGGACGTGCTCGGTGGCGAGTTCTTTGTGGATTCCATAGCTTTTTCCCGTTGATGACATGAATTTCGCGGACGAGTTTCGGCTGAAACCGCGCAATCTCGGATGATGCCGCGGCTTGGCTCGTATCGACGATTTAATTAGAGCGCGCGCGCATCGAAGGGAAAGTTTCGTTTCTCACGGTAGAAAATCGTCAGTCGATGCGTATCCTGCCACCGTCGGGATAACTTCCGTGCGACAGTGTTCACGTTTCAGACGAAACAATTAAAGTTTTAGCAGCTAGTTACGCAGCCGTCGCACGCGGTACAAAAGATTATATAGCGTGTGCGACGTGCATAATAGAGGGTCACATTATAACTTCAAAGAAGCCGCATATATCGCGCGCACGCCCGCTTGTCAGACGCATTAGGGAGCTCGCTTGTCTAACTCGCTTGTAGCCATACCTGTTGGAAACTGCGCGAGAGCGATTACAACTTCCGCCGGGTTAAGTTACACTCAGTAACGCGCTCGTTGAGATAAAATATTGACTCGATACTGGGAATGTGAATGCGCGGCCACCACGACTGCAACGACGCGAGCCAAGATTGGCGGGTCGTTCGGTGATATAAACGTCTTCCATTTGAATGATTACTTAATAACCGGCAGCGCGACGTGGGTAATAATGTGTGTTTTTATTTCTTTTTTTTTTTTTTATGAAGCGAGATGCAGACGTACGTTCACGGCGCATACATTAAGACCGACTAAATCATGAAGCGACCGATTAAATATTTCACGTCGAAGACTACCTCGCTGGCAAGTTCTTTGAAAGAAGTGCACTCACCACCATCTGATATATCGCGTCGACTATATTGTACATTTCGTCTCTCGTGATGAAGCCGTCGTTGTCCACGTCGTACAAACGAAAGGCCCCTGAAAAGAGATGAGAAAAGAGAGAAAAACACATTGACTTTTGCGAGTGAATTCTTGGGAAATACAAACTCCGAAAGGACACGCCTTCTCCTTCCTTTCGAAGGAAAGAAGGAGAAAGAGAGACACACCGCGGTGGTCTCTCGTATTCTCGTGTAGCTCGGTTCTCCCGCGAGCTCGCTGTAAGCTTTCTCTTCCTCCCGTTCGATATTCCGTTCCGCAATCCCGATATCATCGAAGCTATACATCTCATTGTCGCTTGTCCACTTTCGTTGAATTGTTATCGTTGCACGATAGTGTATTCTCTCGGGAGGGATAATCGAGGGAGTTTCTCCGATCGTTTATCGTCTCACGTTGCAACGATCGTATCCATGGTTCATCTCGAATTTTATGTATACCAATTCCTCGTGGACCGCGTGAATCTTCCTTCTCCGGGCGACGACATTCGCGACAAGTGTCAGTGTCGGTTCATCAATTGCTCTTTGCGGAAACAACAGTGAATAGGCTAGTTTTATTGAATTTCGCAACATATACGTGGCATAATAACCACCCATTTTTCCGAGGTATTGCTTTTAAAATCATTTTTGTAGTTTTGATATTTGGACTTATTTAGAAGTCGCGGAAAATACACTTATCGTACAATTTCGGTTCGATCGCAGTTAGGAAATAGCGGTAAATTTTTTCATCTTCCTGGCTGAGATCGGACAGCATAAGTCTTCGACTTTAACTGTCGCGACCGCGTCAATAGGACGCGGCGGTTTTCCGTCGATCGTATCCGCGATGTATCCTAAGTAGATGGGCAAACAGAGTAGCTCGCGAGAGAACTCTTCCAGATTTGAGTGGATAAGTTTCTCGAGAGGGATAAAGAGGGGACGAGAAGTACTTACAGTGAAGTTTTTCGTCCAGGTTGCCGCGTGACGTCACCGAGAGCGCTCTTATGAACTCCTCGAACTCTATCGTACCGTCCTGAAACAACAATCCGGCGTATCCTTATTTGTCGCGAGTCGCGTTACACCGCCTATTGATCGTGCTTCTCCTCCGCTCGAGAATCGCTTTGCGATCGCGTTTCTCGTAGACAGACAGAGACGAACGAACGGACGAGCAGTTGCCTCTTGACAGTCGAACAGCTACCGCACGAGAGGTACACCGAACAGTTTTCTCTTTCTCTCTTTCTCTTGGGTATATTTCGAACCGCCATGTACATATAAATCGAATCGCCTCGCGAGAGAAATCCTAGGAAAACTCCCGACTCGCGTATATATACACCATATAACTATTCTATATCTTCGATAAACACGCTCGATTCAGCGAGTATGCCAATGTTGGTTCGCTCATCCACTCGGCAAGCGAACGTGCGCGCTGATTAAACATCGTGGATTAGCTCGCGTCCGCCAAATCGACGCTTGCCTTCTCGCTCTCGACGTGCGAATTTATTCAGCGTGCAATTCGCTATGTAAATCAACAGGACGCTCGCCCATTCTTATCTAACGCCAGTCTAAATAAATGCTTAGTCGATGCTTAAACGGCAATAAAGACGTAGCGAGGGCAACGGATAGCGGCGACGGGGGCAGAAAAATAATTTTAGCAAGATGGTTGAGAGGGTTTGCGTGACAGGCCTTGCACGCGACGTCGACATGGCGAGCGCGAGTCTGAACGAACGTGAGGGTTCGTGGAAAACCACGACGTGTACACCACGTGTGGCTAAAACTCACGGCGTTCTCGTCGAAGACCCTGAAGACGAGGGAGGCGAACTTTGACGGGTCACCCTGGGGGAAGAACTGCTTGTAGATCTTTATGAAGCCCTGAAATCACACGAGCGTCGTATATATCTCGTGTTTTTATTCGTTATGGATTTGGGGTGATTAACCCTTTCCTCCTCCGCTTTGTCTCTTTACATATATCTGACCAATATTTCACGTTTAATGAAATATTTAGCAATTTATGTCAATTCTATAGCTTTCAGATACATAGTAAAATATTTTGTACTTATGCTAAAATCGGTCTTTGTTAAAATTTTGGAGTTTGTATTTTTGGGTTAAATTTTTTATATGCCTGTATGTTGATTTAATATATTATGTTTATGTTATCTCAACATTTTGTGTTTGTGTCGAGATTCAACATGTGTAAGTATTAAAATAACGTTTTATAGTTTAGTATCGATTAACATATTAATTTCGTGTTAATTGACAACCAATATTTGCGTTACTTTTCAACATATATATATATTCAACATATATATTCACCTTGTGTTAAATTAACACAAAAATTTGAATGGACCGTAGCATATGAAATATGTTAAATTTAACACAAAATTTTGTTCTATGTATTATTACTTTTTCCTTTAATTTTTACATTGCGAGAAGAGGAGAAAATGATTAATATGATTAAAATATATTTGAGAATAACGCATACCTGTTCCGTTAGCAGTCCATCAGGGCAGTCTTTCAGGAATCCTTTGTGCCTAAGTAATCAAATAATAAAACCGCAATGTATTTCGCGTTGTTAGCAATGAAAAATAACGAGAAAATCACGTTCTGTCTTCGTTCTTACTCACTCTCTTTTATATTTTAATTTGCTACAAAACCAAATTGATACATTTCTCTCGTAAATTATGTTCCTACGATATATTGGCTAGATCTTTAATCATCCTGTCGAAATTTCTACAAGTTTGCGCGGTAATAGTACGTCGCCTCGTTACCTCGAAGTCAAGCTTACCATTGACGGATCTCCTTCTCGGTAACTGAAACAGAAACAAAGGGAACATTTGGAGAGGCATTAATTATTGGTTGTACGACGTACAGCAAGGTCGGGTCATTCCACGCGTGAAAAGTGCCCGGCAAGAAAAAGCGGGCGTAAGGAGAGTAGCGGGGAAGAGAATTATTGTCCTCCGGTGCTCGCCAGCCTCGAATCAACTGCCGTGTGATTTACTGCGCGACGGATTTTCTCGGTAAATTCAGTACGGAGGTACGTGTCATTGAAAAAACTCGATTGTCCCACAGAAGCGATCAAATTTTTATAGGGCGTCGCGGATGCAGAAAACCGAATCGTTTTTCGCTGTGTGTCAGTCGAAGGATATTTATACAGAGCGCGATGTTATGTGTTCTTTTCCGCGTTTACTCGCAAACACCGAGCAGAGACACGCATCGCGTCTGGCGCGGAGTGATGGATTAAAAATGCAAAAAAGAAAAAAGGAGGGGAGGGGAGGATAGAAAATAACTAAAAAAAGCATGAAATTCGTCGCAATGCAGACGATGCGCTCTTCGTATCATCGATTAAATTGATTCGATCGACGGAAGGGAAACGGCTAACCGATATCGTTGCGAAAAAGACAGTCGATAACGGCGTTTGTTTCCACTGAGAAAAAGAGAGACAAAAGAACAGTCGGAACAACGAAAGTTTCCCTTCGAATCTTTGTATTTAAGCGAACGGATTACGGTGGAGTTCTTTATGGCTGCGGGCATACAAAAGAATCGAAAAGAATGGAGAAAGGAAGATTAGAGACGCGCGCGGACGACGATTATGCGTTTCGCCGGTTCGTTGCTTAACCTTCCGGTCCGGCAAAGAAGCTCTCACATTTGTCAGAGCTCGCTCGCCTATCGGTAAAAGACGGTGCGAAATGCGGCGAAAAATATCGGGGCCATTCGACATGTTCTGAAATTGCGGGGCTCGGATCAAATAGGTTTCTTCGATATTTTTAAAACGCGTCGCCATTGCGCGTACGAAGACATTCCGGTATTTTTTCAATGAAATATTTTATCGATGCCGCATATTAATTGATAACCGGATGGCAGCCTACTGTGCTATCCTTTAAAGGACACATAGGTGAGAGAGAGAGAGAGAGAGAGAGAGAGAAGCATTTCGCTCCCTGCGTCAGCTGAACCAAATGTGTATGGTAGGTATGTAGGTAGGGACAAAGGGTAAAGGGCGAAGGACGAACGCGAGGTCGATAGAACTACAGAGAGAACACGAAGAGTTTTGTGGTTTATATGGTAATCTTGCGCCGCCTCGAGTATACCATTAGCTTTTCCAAACAATGCAGTAGTGAACTGCTCTCTCTGCAGAGGAAGCACTAAACCGCGAACGGAAATCGCGCGCTCCGTTTACCAGTCAGGAAATCAAATGTGATAATTTCTTAACTTCTCTTCGTTAACTTCCCTTCGTTTCTCGTTTGCGCACCGGGAAAGACATTCAGAAAGTTTCTCATCACCACCGTCATCGCCGAGCCGTTCGTGGGACGTATCAGCGTATCGGAAGTACTTTCGTTTCACGCGAAAGAGAGCAAAATCGCTGTCGCGATTAGATAACGTTCCGGACGATTTCGGCAAATAGTTGAATATCGAGACGCGATTTAATGAAACGGATCGCTGGTTATTATCACGCGAACCTGCGAATCTCGCGAGCTCGTGGCAAGCAAACTGATCGTTATTCCTCGGAGCCGCGTCGGTGGGTGGGCGGCCCCATGGACGGCTTTGAAATATTCCTATAACTATGTAAATTAGATCCGCATTGGGAAGTATCGTCGACGGAACGATCCCGTCGCGCCTAATTCCCTTCGCAGATTTACGACCTTGTGTGATAAAAAAAAAACGAATAAGAAAGAAAGTTTATTCAAACTAGAATTACCCATGCATCACGCGTGTGATATACATCAGCCACCCGTGTATATCGGGGAAAATCTCGCTGCACATTGTTCTACTTTCGACTTTTCGCCAGGGCAGCATCTCGCTCATTGATCGATCCGCATTTGTCGGTTAACCGTCGCACACGCGTTTCTGCAGAATTCGCATGAGGCGTATCACGAAGGGATATCAATTTCGTGATTAATCTGCAGCACAATCGAATACTACTCGTTTGAATATCCCCCAGCGTGCGTCCTTCGTTAAGTGTGCTCGCTCGGCGGGAATGTTGCGAGACGTGTGGGCTAACGACGAGTCACGCGAGAACGCTCGTCGTTTCGGGACGATGGAATAAAATATTCCACACTCCTTTTTTCATTCGCGATTCATTCGTGACAGAGAGTCGTGGCGACGTGCGAGTTGTTCTCTCGTTGTTGTTCTCCGGTTTTCGTGGCTCGTTTAATTATTAGCGCATGCCACCGCCGGCATGACAACGTTGTTTCGTGTAGCATTCCGAATTTGACGAATAATTTCCGTGAAACACGTAACTATATCGTGCTGACCACAAAACTTATGTTACCCCGCACGGGCCATATTTCGCGGCTGCGCGTTCGCGAGCAGGCTTCTCCGCCTCCGCACCGATACACTCGAGTCCTGTAATTGATTCGACGCCGTGGATGCTTAATTGACCATAGCTACTCCTCGGCTACTCGGTTTAGGGCTTACGTCGACTAAAATTGCACTCCTTCTTCATCGTCCATTTTTATCCTTCGTCCGTCCTTCCAAAGCCCATGCTCCCTCCGCTAAGCCTCTCGATATCTCACCGACGCGGGAACTTTTTCTCCTCTCTTAGTTCATGCGCACAGCTGAAAAAGCACGTCTTTCTAAATAATAACCTGATTTAATCGCGTTAATTCGTATAAATGCGCTTAGGTGCAGATCAGCTGCGCCAACGAAACCGCGATGGTACCTGTCGTCTGGTATACACAGCGTTTAAATATGAAATTATTTCACCGCAATACGGACGCGCGCACTTGCATATTTAATTGCTACGATCAAATGGGTTATTTTAGCGATCGGTCGCAATAAAGAATGCATTTATGTGCGAGAAGAATGCGTATTAAGCACATTTTTTCACTATCACTTACAGCGTCTCGTTGTGTATATCGCGTTTTGCATAGCAACGATTGACCCGTTGCGTACTGAAAAATTCAAGGGTTCGTCGGAAAGCACGAATTTTGTCGAATTTCGTATGTAATGCTCCAATAGAAGAGAGCGATGCTACATTTTTTGGAAAAAAAGGTGAAGGAAAAAGCTCGCAGCAACGGCGTATAGGGAGGAACCATGTGAAATAATCGGCGAAAAGGAAGTAAGCGCTCCTCTATGCTCGGTCGGAAAATTATGAGAAAATAATCTGACGCAATTTAGTTCTCGCCGAGCCCTCCTATCAAACTGATTATTCGGCTTCCGGATCGTGCCGTGGTAATTGCAGACGGTGGATTTTTGCCAGGTTCTCGCGCGCGCTCTTCGACATTTTCGTCTCTTCTCCGAACGATACGGCCGCTTCGCGCGTCACTCCGCTCGTAAAGACTCTCCCGTCTCCGTCCAAGCGGTAATAATCTCGAGAGCTACTTTCCTCAAGCGCATCCTCCGTCGCTGCGAGCACGAGTTTTTCTAATCTGCGGCTCAACGACGCCCGCAAGAGAGACACACGACGGAGGAGCGTCGAGGAGTGTTGCGTCTCGATGGGAGCAGACGACGACGGCGGTGGCATCTCGGAAATTCAGCGATATTGCTGTCAGCGCCTCTGTCACCATACTAAAGTAATCTCTACTTATTTCCCAGCGGTTAGATTGGCTCCTTTTTCCCAAACTCGTCTCGCTGGTCCTTCCAGTCGCGACGATAACGTCGGGACTGTCGAATCAATCAACGCGCGGGAACCTTCTCTCATTTTCGTGTCGCGTCGCGTCCCTCTGTACTTTTGCACGTCACGCGTTTTTCATTTGCGATTTATTTCGGGAGACGCGCGTGTGAATGATGTGACGGAGGGATCCCACGCGCGTTCCTCTCGGGAGCAGCTTCTTCGAGTCGAGATTTTCGTTCTACATTAACCCAGTAAATTTCCTCGAACTTGAAAAACCGATAAAGATTTTATATCAATATTATATAATTTACTTAGCTGCAGATAGAGTATGTGAGATAAAAAAACAAATATTAAATAATCTAATAAAGCTTAATGAGTAAAATGGCAGTTGACAGTTCGCGGCAGAGCCGATGAAATTTTAGGGGATATAAAACAGGTGTGTAAACGCACAATATTGCACCAGCTGCGTCTAGCAGTAGTGAGACACGAAGCTGTGTTTAATCGCGTGCCGTAAGTGCGGCGCACGAGTCTTGAATTAATTCCGCGGAGCTCGGTTTCCCTCGCGCTCGGTTCCGTTATTCAAATTCGCCTCTTCGCCGAGGGAATATTCTCGGGCGTGCCAACTGACTGTCGAGCCACGCGAGACGTTTATCAAAATGACTGCGTTAATGTAATAATTTTATTTTATAGCAACGAACGCGCGTTTTTACGAGATCGTGTAACCTCCCGGGAATACGCGTGTATCGTCTATCGTCTCTTAATTTTTTTTTCATGCTCAGCCGGACGCATTTACTTTATCTTTCATACGTGATTATGCCAGAATCACGTGTTGAAAAACTTGACACGGTTAAAAATATAATCTTGATTCGCAAAGGATATAAATTACGGCGGATAATCGTTAATTTTAATTAACTGCTACTTTCATTTGTAATGCACTTTGTTAAATAATATTTAGTTTCATCTGAATTTCCATGAAACGTACTCACAGTTATACGTAGTTGTCTAACGTTAATATGAACAAAGAACTAAATTAAGTTATCGAAGTTTTGCAATAATCCGGACACGATTCAACTTCGTAGAATTTCCGAAAAGTAGTTCAGCAATTGAACGTGTTCCTTTACTAACCTTACTAACGTAGCGTATAAAAACGTCCTGTGTAAAAATAGCGTTCGCGAAACGGCATTACCTCGGTCTAGATAGTTAGAACTCGTTGAGTTTCGGGGTCCATTTTATCATGCGTAGCAGTGGTAGTAGTATCGT